GGCGGGCGGGGGACGGGGCGGGCGGTGGGGGCGGAGGCAGGACCTCCTGTACCTTCCCTCCTCTCCTCTCTCACTCTGACAGTGCGGAGGTGTGCGGAGCAGGAGCTCCGAACAAAGGAGTGGAGTGGGGAGGGGAGGGAGTTGGGTGAGGGAGAGCCCCCGGCCGGCTGCCAGAAGATCCCGGCTGGAGGAAGCCCAAGTGTCACTTGAATTCCAACCCGGGAGCGGGTGCCTGGGACCTGAGCGCCTGCTTTAGCAAGAAGGGCTGGAGCAAGTCCTGTAAGTTCCTGGAGTGTCGCCGGTCGCCTGCCCACGAGTGGCCCCGGCTCCTGGTCCCTCGAGACCCCTGCTTCGCCTCTGGCGGGGTGGGAAGTTCCAGAATGAAAGGGAAGAAAGGTAAGGGCAGGCTGTGCGCACCAGGGCGCAGAGTCGAGTCACACGCGGGCCGCGCCGCGCTGGGATGGGGGGGGGGCGACAGTGACTTGGACTTTTTCTTCCAGGGGGGCTTTGGCGTTGGAGCGTTCACCGTTCTCTTTGTTGAGGCTGCGTCTGGAATGGCAGTTGCAGGGTTTTTTTTTTTTTTTTTTTTCTTCCTTCTAGACATAACACGAGGGGCTGTTGTGGGGAGACTCAGGCTCACCACGCTGCTGGCACGTTGTTTGTGCGCCTCCAAGTTTCATTGTCTCCGCCGACACCCCACGCTCTGCCCAGCCGCCGCGTGGCTTCTAAGTGCTGTTTCTGGGGCAGGGATGTGGGGTCGGTGTCAAGGGAAACCCCCGCACCTTGCTTTCCCTGCTGGGGGGAATCATAGGCGGAGATCTGCCTGGTCTTTGTCTGAAAGTTGGGTTCCGGGGGCTCCCACTCTTTTTCTTAAGGATCTGATGTTTTTCACTATCAAAGGAATGTGATCCCGCACCATCACATTGACCTAGGGTGTGCATAGCTTTGTAAAAACGTAGACTTTTTAAAAATAATGAAGCCCTAAAAGTTTTCCCACAGATGAATTTAGGACAACGTGAGCGGTTAGAACACATGAGCTTGCAGTCTAAATGTGTCCAAGTGTGACAAAGCAGGCTTGGTTGTAAGTGCAAAGAGCAAGGCTGTCATTGTTTCCACCAAGCTTTGTGGAAGCTTTGCAACTAAAATTTGCCGTCAGTCTGTTTTAAAAACAAAATACACAGGGGTTGGGGGGGGTACATACCAGCTCTCCGTGAAAGGTCAAAGACTGTGAAGTCCCTTTTGAAGTTAACTTTTGAGTCCCTAGCTGGGAGGTACTTCGAGTGTTAGGTGGACTGGAGTTGGCTTTTCTGTTGTGATTTATGTGGAGTGGTTCAAAACAGAAGTTAATCGCTCGGAGGGGGGGAGGGGGCGCTGCTGCGCAGGCCCAGGAGCTTCCTCGAATTTGTAACTCCACATTCTTTCAGACCCAGACGGGCGACTCAGTTCCAACGGAACACTGTTCTGCCCACCACTGCGCGCCCCACGCACACCCCACGGAGTTCCTCCCACAGCTTCTCCGCCTTACAGTCGTGTTGATGTAGTTGTATAGGAGACTGAAACACGCGGAACTTATGAAAACGCGGGGTACTTGGTAAAGTTGGACTCCCTGCCCGGGTCTCACCCTGGAGACAGCGAAAAAGTGTAGGGCTTAGAGTTGGGGACAGTTTAACTCCGCTCTGGAAAGGTGTCTGGGGCCCTCTGTTGATCTGGGACACCCTCTCCGTGAGACTGACAGTCTAGACTCCGTGGGAGGCGTTCTTTATGTTACAATGGAGAGGGAGGCATTCTTTATGTTACGACGGCGAGTAAAGTTGGGGCTTTCGGTTTTCGGTAGTTCCAGGGTACAGGATGCAAAGCTGGGTTTCCGCCATGGGGGGGCAGACCCCCCACTGTTCCTGGCTCTGGTGGGGTAACTGACTAGCCTCCCACGAAGACACCCTGTTTCCCTGCCCCCCTTTTCGGTATTCCCTCCAGGACTCCCCCTCCCCAGCTGCCATCGCTGTTGGGTCCCCAGTCCCGAACGCCGCTGGGTCCCCACCATTCAGCAGCAGCTCATGGAAACAATGAAAGGTGACGTGTTGGAGGGGAAACTTTGCCACTGCTTTACGTGGGGGGTGGGGGGAAGCTGAGGCTGCCCCAGTTCCTTTCCCTTTTTAGGTTTCCCCTGCACATGGTCTGGGGTGGGGGCAGACCCCTGAAGATGTGATATGTACCTCCCCATTTCCAGGCCCTTGGTGACTCGAGGAGTCCCACGGTCCTGCGCGGTTGCCAGCTTGTACAGTTCTGGCTTCGGTTGGGTCTGAGGAACTCTAAAGAACAAAAGCTGCTTGCTTTCCTCCCCGGGCTCCTCCCTCTTCTGAGCCTCCCCCCCAGCCTGACTACCTGGGAGGACGGAACCTAGCTTCCCGTGCTGTGGGTCAGCACTGCTTTAGTCGGTCCACCTATTGTCTGTCTGAGAAAAGTTTGAACATCTTTTCAAATTTCCTGACAACAAAGACTGGTGTGTGATAATAATACGCCGTCTTCGAAAGCTGATTATAGCTCTAAAAATCTCCTAAAATGGCCTCAAAACAAAGTTCAAGGAGGAAAACCCCCCAAGGTCTTGCTCCTGGGTTTCTGAGTTTGTTGAATTCTTGAGTTAGGACTGAACTGCCTTGGACCCATTCTAGTGCATCACGGATTTAGTGACTTGGGTGTGAAGTTCAGCCTTGTTGAGCGCCCCCCCCCCAACCTCAGAGCTTCAGAAAAAGAAAGTGAAGAAGCAAGATTGCTTCTCAGAGCTGTGGGATCCACAGGCCATCTTGTGGCTTTCTAAACAACATTTCCTTGTATGTGGATAGAGTTAGAGGCTTGTGATTCTGACCCACACCCACCTCTCTCCCTCCCCAACCACATTTTTTTCAGAGCGTAAGCAAAGCAAGGCAATTGGAAACAAGTCTTAACCGGGAAACTTTTCAAAAGCTCTGTTACAGTAGGAAATGAGTAACGAGGAAAAGTCTTTTTGTTTTTCCAAGTTGAGCCACAGTCAGGAGGGAGTTTTAATGAAAACATCCCTGACAGCAGCAAGCGTGGTTCAGCTGCATTGAAGTAACAGCTGGCGTCGCCCAGGCACCGAAGTCTTGACTTCCTGTGACTTCAGCTTTTGTGCACGCATTGGAAATATTTGTTAAGAGGTCCCGAGGCCTGGCATTCTTTTTTTTTTTTTTTTTTTTTCCTTTTCCTCAAATTACCTGAGCCTAGTGAGTAAAACGGTTTGGTGTTGCTTAACTGAAACCTGCTTTGTGTCTCTAACCTATTCTGAAGGACCTAGCTTCTTGTCAAACCAAGCAAGCAGATCAAAGGGCAGGCTTCAGGGGTTTTTGTTTGTTTGTTTGTTTCAAACGCTTTGTTTTGGTATTGCCAATTTACAGTTGGGAATTCACTGTTCAATGAGCAAATTTTCACACTTTTTAGATTATAAAAAGAAGAGGGAAATAATAGCCTTGGAGAATGTGTGAATGTGTGGCTTTTCTGAGTTTAAGCAAATTGTTTTATCCAAATTGCTTATTCAATTAACTTGACATACTTAAAAGTGAGATTTCCTAAAGTTATCAAAGCAAATGTGAAACTAAAACGCACTTATAATGGGAGTGTTTTTCTTAAAAACTGAGTTCTTTACCCAGATTTCAGTGTGCGTTTTGAAAGTTTCTCAGTTTCTGTGCAATGGAAGCACTTTCAGTTTTTAACTTTGCTCTTTCTTTGGGCTTTTTTTTTTTTTTTAAGGCGATTCAATTAAATCTTCAGGGAAGATTTCTAATGCCTTGCCATTAAAAACGGAGGATTCTTGTGGTTTATTTATAGATGTTTGTTAAGCCTTGCGCTACAGTGAATTTGCAAAATCATCCACCTCTTTTGTTAGAACTTGCTTTTACTTTGTCTTTGTAGGATTTGGCTTTTCCTGTTAGGAACGCCCTCCAGCGTCTTCTGCCCCCTGCAGTCCAGAACTAAAAATGTGTCACCAAGTCAGTCTGTTGGTGATTTTTAAATAAATCCCTTTAAAATTCCAGCTTACTTCACCTTCAAAAATCATTTCACTCAGAAATGACTTATGGTTTTCAAAGGTGGAATGATACACTTGTTAGTTAAATAGTTAAATAAAACTCTTTAAAATTCAAAATGATTGTCTATAAGGGTTAGGCTGGCCTGAATTTCATTGATCTCTGATTTAAATATTCTGTATGACTTGTGAATTCTTAAAATTTCTGGTAGGATTAAAGTACTTGCCACCAAAATGGCTCCCTTTGGGGGTTCGAATATTCAGTTTTCTTTGTCATGTAAGAATTTAAGACTGAACTCATTGATATGTAGTATTCTAGGTTCATATTACATTGCTGTTGAAGGAAATTCAGGTATATTCAGCAGTAGGCATCTTTTGACCTTTAAGTGCTGATGATAGAAAAATACCCTGTAAGCTGGAAACTGAAGTTGTATTTCATAAAGTGACTAGTAATGACCAGTAAAAGTAAGCATCTAATTCTGAATAAATATAAACAGCCATGGATAAGAAATGGCCATGGAATTATTTATTTTTAGGAGTGCTGGAGAGATTTTAATGACATGGGTACTGGAAACTAACCCCCCCCCCCCTTTTTTTTTTGTCTTTTTGAGACAAGTTCTCCTGTAGCCCCAGCTGGCCTGGAACTTGCTATGTAGACCAGGCTGACCTCAATCTCACAAAGGTTCACCTGCCTCTGCCTCTGCTGGGATTAAAGGCTACATGCCACTGTACTCCTACACTGCTCTTTAACTCTTTTGAGCCTTAGCCTTTAACAACTGAGCTATTTCTCCAACCCTAGCCATGGAATTTGGAGAAAAAGGATTTCACCTTTAGAATACTAAATTAAGCTAATTCCCCTTCCATAATGCCTGTGGCACCCCTGCACACTGTTTCCTTTTGTATCAAATCTTCAGGGAAGGAGACAGTATTTGAAAATGTACATCAATGTATTCACTAAAGTTTGTTATTCCTAGTTAGCAATGACCTTAGAGACAAGGTTGTGAGGCATTCCCACACTGCCCAGCACCCTTCCTGTTTCAGATGTGGTGCCTTACTACCTTTGAGACCAGTTTGTCTTTTCCTACTACCTTTGAGACCAGTTTGTCTTTTCCGAGCATCTTGTAAAAGGCACATGAGATGTTAAATCCTAGAGGGCAGAGATCAAAAAAGCATCTGGCGATTGGCTGAGAATCTACCATGCTACCATACTCAGTGCTAGTCAGATTATTCTTGAGGCCTTTCCACTGGACCCTGGTCCTTCTGAACAAAAGACACCTCTGCATCACAGTAATTGAGAAACACAATGACGTGGAATAGTTCGAATAATGAGCTTTGAGATAGTTTACTTTGCTGATAAAAGCCTGACAGCTGGCCTTTGTCCTTTCCTAGGTGTCGTTGCAGCTTCCGGCAGTGAGACTGAGGATGAGGACAGCATGGACATTCCCCTGGATCTTTCTTCTTCAGCTGCCTCTGGCAAGAGGAGGAGGAGGGGCAACTTGCCCAAAGAGTCTGTTCAGATTCTTCGGGACTGGCTTTACGAGCACAGATATAATGCGTACCCATCAGAGCAAGAGAAGGCATTATTGTCCCAGCAGACACACCTGTCCACACTACAGGTAAGGAAAGGATAGAAGCTTAGTGCCAGAATCTCCCACTCTGGAGTACTGGGGATCTGATGCAGGGCTTCTGCATGTTAGACAAGGCGCTCCACCACCAAGCTGTGCCCCTCACCTATGTGCGTGCGCGCATGCATGTATGTGTGTGTGTGTGTGTGTACAATATTCAGACATTTTATAGCATTCCTGTGTGTCAAGTCATTAAGCGCCTCTCTAGTGAAAGGAATAAAGGTCTTCATTGTGAACTTCTAGAGTGTGAAAGCTAATAATTGGCTATTTATAGAAAACAGAAACACTTGACAGTCATCTGTCAGCAAGCATTTCCTTCAGTGCCTGAAAGAGCCTTCCTTTATGCAACACACATTAAAAAGGAGGTTAAACCTTACTCTATTGCCCAGGAAACTGGTTTGATATTTAAACAAGGACAGACCTCAGTGAGGTAATTCGTGTTATGTCTGTTGACACAGTCATTTGAACTGGGAGAAATCAGTTACTGGGAGGTGTGGTCTCTTTCATACAGGAAAGGTTTGCTTGTAGTTGATTAACTTAAATGCTGGGGCAGTAGGTTGTAGGTTAAAACAGAGTTAAAGGTAAGCTTTCTTCTCTAAAGTCATTTTCAGGTATTTGAGAATTTTGTATATTTTTATGGATGATGACACTAACAAAAACAAATTCATTTTAGAAGGCAAGGGTTTACGTAAAGCAGGAGGCAGCTAGCTCAAATACCTTGGAATAACTTGTAAGTCCAGAAGAGATGCTTCTTTTTATTTTTATTTTTTCCCTTGGTTGCGCCTTGTACCCAGGGACTCACACAGGCTAGTAAAATACTTACCACAGAGCTACCTCCCCAGTCCCAGATAAACCTTTTTATGCCTCCTTTAATTCAGAGAGAGGTCAGTTTGGCACTCCATAGGATGTTTTCAGAACCTGTTTGCCAAGTGAACGGAGAAAGTGTTAAAGCATACTTGTATGATTTCAGGTCTGTAACTGGTTCATCAACGCCCGCCGCAGGCTCCTCCCTGACATGCTGAGAAAGGATGGCAAAGATCCAAATCAGTTCACGATTTCCCGCCGCGGGGCCAAGATTTCTGAAGCTGGCTCTATGGAGGCTGCAATGGGTATCAAAAACTTCGTGCCAGCTCTAGAGGGGAGCCCGTTTCATTCCTGCACAGCTGGACCCAGCCCCACTCTAGGGAGGCCATTGTCTCCTAAGCCCTCATCCCCAGGATCGGTTTTGGCTCGCCCATCAGTGATCTGCCATACCACTGTGACTGCATTGAAAGATGGGCCTTTCTCCCTCTGCCAGTCGGTTGGTGTGGGACAGAGCATAGATACACCGCAAATGTCAGCCAACAACTTTACAGACACCTCTCTCATGTACCCAGAGGACACTTGTAAATCTGGACCCAGTACAAACACGCAGAGTGGTCTTTTCAACACTCCACCCCCTACTCCACCTGACCTCAACCAGGATTTTAGTGGATTTCAGCTTCTAGTGGATGTTGCACTCAAACGGGCTGCAGAGATGGAGCTACAGGCCAAACTCACAGCTTAACCCTTTTTCAAGCAAAACAGTTCTCAAAAATATGGTCCTGATTGCCGGGGTGATGGCAAGAGATGCATTATTTTATATATTTTTTTATTATTATTTGCACATGGGATTGCTAAGAAGCAGCCTCCTGTTACTGAGATGTCTTCAATGGAATACAGTCATTCCAAGAACTAGAAACTCAAAGCTACTGTAGAAACAAAGGGTTTTCTTTTTAAAATTGTTTCTTGGTAGATTTTTCATAATGTGAGATGGTTCCCAATATCATGTGATCTTTCCCCCTCCCTTTTCCTCTTTTTTTTTTTTTGGATTTTAATAATGTTAAAAAGATGTCACCGATCTATGATTTTAGCAACTCTTAACATTTATATAATGTTTTGTAATAAGGGTTTTTTTCCAGACTGTGCAATACTTAAAGAACCTAGCGCGTCTTTTCGTTCCCTTGTGGAACAGGGTGCCCACATACTGTCTAACAAATTTTCGGTTTTTTAGATACAAACAAGTATGAATCTAGTTGTTGGATGCCTTTTTCATGATGTAATAAAGTATTTTCTTTAAAAGTTATTGCGATGCAGAGTATTTCTTGAAAGAGATTCTTAGAAATGAGTTAGGGATATAGCACTCCAATGAGCAGGAAGTTGGGGGCAGGGTAGAGTGTGACACAGGGGGTGTCACTACTTTGAAGAGCTGTGGACAACAAGCTAGTATGAATAAACAGGATGTGTGATATTTACTCTCGATAGGAGGGGCAGCTTGCCCATTAAGAGCTGAATGCCAAGTTGAAATGAGTTATTTCATCAGTGTTTAATAGATCACAAATTCCTTAGTGATCCAGTCTTCGTATTTTCAGACATTGCCGTGTTAAATGAAAATCTTCAAGCAACTGATTGTGCCTCTTCACAAGCAAGCAAGCAAATACAAGCATTTTAGTGGTGTCTTTCTAAGTTATACTTTCAAATCTTTGGTGGTAGAGTTAGGCAAGGCCTTTGCATTCCAGAACAGCACTTCATTGTGGAGAAATGACATTTTGGTACATTTTAAAGCATTTTCCAAAATGATGGAATGATAGGAAGGGATCTATGTTGATATTCTGAGTTTATTAAACATTTCCCATGGTCCTAAGTTTGAAAACATGGTGTCTTGTACAAGTGGAGTTTATTGAGAGAAAATGGCTTAGGAGCCTGGTTGGCCAGAGGAACTGGGTCATGCTCCTTCTAGTTGCCACATGTCACATGCCACAAAACCATTCTTACAAAGTCATGCTTAGTGTGAAGTTCCTCTGTTGGAGTCCTGTTCTCTCCAGTACTGTTCCAGCTACAAATTTTCTGAAGCCTTAAGGGTCACCACAGCTTCCATACTGCTTTTTAGGGACTAGAAAATCATTCTCCATTGAAGTTGACCTAAATGTGAAAGTCCCAGCTGTAGAGAGAGAAGCTAAAAAAAATCTCTTAAGAGAAATGGAAAACCTGACAGTGGCAGCCAAGATGTGTAAGAAAATGAGGGAGCAGTCTCTAGTCTGGTGTACTGTTGGAAGGGTGTGTCAAGAGGGTCCCACTGATAGAATACAAATGGAACATAAATATTAAGAATTATTCACAGCTTGATTAAAAGGCCACACTGCTGCAAAACCTGAACGCCTTCCCATGTTAAGGTACTTTATCAATCACATTAAAAGAAGGGGAGAAGTACCCCAAAAGTAGAGCTGGGGCTATAGCACAGCTGCAGGACATTTGCCTAGGTGTGCAAGTCCCAGGTTTGATTCCCCCAAGCAAAAAAGAAAATTCAAGGGTCAATGAAACCCAAAGGTTCAAAGGAGAATGTACACTGTGTTTTATTCTGTCTTTCTCCTTTAGAGGTGCTTACAGATCTTGGTTGTTAACAGCTGATACAGAATAGAATAGAGGCCTTTATTTTCAAACGGATGTAATTCAAAAGGTAAAAACTATTCATACCAGCTGGGTGTGGTGGCAACACAACTGTAAACCCAGCACAGGGGAGCAGGCAGATCACGACTGGGGCCAGCCTGGGCTACTTGAGACACTGGTTCAAAAAGCAATCAGGCTTTGGGTGTGCCCTTTAATTCTAGCACGTGACAGAGGCAGGTGGATCTGTGAGTTTCGGGGCAGCCAAGGCTTACATAGTGAGACTCTCAAAAACAAAATGAGCAAAAGCACTACCCCTAGGGCTAAGGAATAACTCAGTTGGTAGGGTGCTTACCTAGCATGCAGGAAACCCCGTTTTCCATCCTCAACACCACATAAACAGTGAGGTGACACATACCTGTAATCGAAGCTGGATTTCTGTACTGTGTAGTGAGTTTGGCCAGCTTGGGTTACTTGAGACCCTGTCTCAACAAAAATTAATCATGTCAAAGCCAAACAGGATTTTTGCGTTTGCTATGTACGTGATACACCTTTTCATTTGCTCACTTTGAAACTTTGTGTTTTAATAACTTGGTAGAGGCTATATAGTTGGATCTTTTGTCTAGTTTTTGCCTTTTTTGTTTTTAAAATATTTTTATTTTTAATTAATTTTTAAAATTTATTTTATATGTGTACTCAAGTGTTTTGCTTGCATATTTGGAGGTGTACCCATGTTATGCAAAACCCTCAGGAGGCCAGATGAGGGCTTTGGATCCCCTGGAACCTGAGTTATGGACGGTTGTTAGCTACCATATGGGTGCTGGGAATCGAACCTGGGTCCTGAGTAGCCAGTGCTTTTAACTGCTGAGGCATCTCTCTAGGCCTCCTTTTTCATTTTTAAATGATTTATTTTTATTTTTATAATCATGTATGTGTGAATGGGTAGGTGTGTACATGAGTACAGGCCCTTGATGGCCTGAGGTGTTGGATCTCCTAGAGTTGGAGTGACTGGTAGCTGTGAGCCTCCTCTTAACCACTGAGCCATCTCTCCAGCCCTAGTTTCTGCCTCTTAACCAGTATGTTTAGTCACTTTACACCTAATGTGTTTGTTGATATATTCGTATTCAATTATGAATTATGTGTTATTTCTTTTCAAGCTTCTTTTGCTATTTGTATGTGATATGTATATATGCATGTTTGTGTGTGTGTGGACGCACATATGTATGTGGGGGGGTGGGTGTGGATGTGGAGGTCAGACAATGACATTGAGTGTCTTCCTCAATCACTTTCTACTTTATTTACTGAGGCAGGGTCTCTTGCTGAACCTAGAGTTGACCACTTTTTGCCCTGTGGTGTCTTGGTGTGGATACTGGCAATCCAAACTCCAGTCTTCCCACTTACATGGTAAGCAGTTTACTGAGTCATCTCTCCAGTGCCTTATATGCTATTCATAATCACTGACTCAGGGTTGGAGAGATGGCTCAGTGGTTAAGAGCACTGGCTGCTCTTGCAGAGGACTCAGATTTGGTTCCCAGAACCCACATGATGGCCAACAACTGTCTATAACTCCAGTTCCAGGGGCTCCAACACCCTTTACTGTGTTCCTCAGGCATTGCACACATGGGTGCAGTTATATACATGCACACAAAACACCTTATACACATAAAATAAAAATAAATAAAAATTTTAAAATAGCTGACTTAAAGCACTTGTCTGCTCATTGTAACGTGTCACAGTGAGTTTCTGTTTGGCGGCATTTTACTTCAGTAAGAGGTCAACTTTGGGGGTCAGTGTTTTTTTTTTTTTTTAATTCAAGGCACTGGATGTTGTTACACTAATAAAGACTGGATTCTGCTGCATTCCTCTGAGGTACAGTTTTTGTGTTCCAGCAGTTCTGGTTGGACTAAAGTGCACACACTCTCCTGCGGTGGGTAGCAGCTGCAATCTGAACTTGTTCTTTCAGTGTCCTGCAGTGAGCCCCAGGGCTCTCCTTGCACAAGCTGAGGCTTGCTCCAGCAGCACCCTCCTTTCCACAACACTTCTCATAACCTTCATGCCTTTCTGTGCTTTGCCCGACCCAAAGCTCTTTCCATGATATCTTAAGCCACTAGGACTCTAGTGTTCAATGTTTGCTAGTTGTCTGAAGTTCGAGGACTCTACACTCGTGTATATTAAAGTTACCTTCTCTTAAGGGGAGATAGTCTTCCAGTTTCTCTCAGATTTGTTCTCCAAACCTCAATTAATGTTTGGTTGGTTGGTTTTGGTGTTGGAGGCTGGGAACTGGGCTTAGGACAAAGTCTTATGTAGTCCAGGCTGGCCTCCAACTCACTCTGTAGTCAAGGCTGGCCTTCAAATTTACCATCCAGCTTCTACCTTCTCTGTGCTTGTGCCTCCATGCCTGACTCAGTTACCTTTTTTTTGTTAAATGTTTTGTTTCTACTTTATAATTGTTAAGTCGCAGAAAGACCCTACCATTGCTAGAAACTAAAATTTTACTATCCCTTTAAACTCTGTGTGTGTGTTTGGGGAGCTACTTTATTTTTTTTTGTTTATGTGTATGAATTTTTTGCCTGTGTGTATGTAAGTGTACCATATGCAATGCAATACCCTTGGAGAACAGAAGAGGGCATCAAATCCCCTAGAACTGGAATTACTGGTGGTTGTTAGCTGCCATGTGGGTGCTGGGGATTGAACCAGGGTTTCTTCTGTAAGAGCAGTATTATTAATAACTGAGCCATCCCTCCAGCCCTCTTTGTTTTGTTTGGAGTAGCCTGGCTGGCCTAGAAATAGTCTCTTGCCTCAGCCTCTTGACTGTAAGGACTATAGTGTGTGCCACCACTCAGTTTATCAAACTTACCTGTGTATTAGAGTCATCGGAAAGCTTAAAAAAAACACTGTGGTCAGGGATTGGGAAGTTTTTTTTTTTTTTTTTTTAATCTCTTGTTGATTATAATCCATAGCTAAACCTGGGGAACTTCTGCCCTGAATAACAACTCTTAATCAGTGTCTCCTGCAGCCTATATTGACCTGGCCTGGAGCTCACTAGACTTGCCTGGAACTCCTGATTCTCTTGCTTTCCTCTCCCAACCCCTACCGCAGGCATTCTACCAATGAACTGAATACCCAAACCCTTGTTTTTCTTATCAGAAGTTGACCGTATTCCAGGATTTAAAAAAAAAAAAAGTGTGTTTTGTTTAGACAATAGACAATTTTGGAAAAGAAATATAATTATTTGATATAGAGTTACCCAAGTTAATTTTCCAATTAAAGTTTAATGTAAATCTGATGCCTGGCCCTGGGCTTATATAGTAGCATACACATGATTCATACTATATGGAAGCCAAGCCCCTATTAGCCCTGAAAACACTACAGGAAGTCGAGCATTCATTTATATCAAACCCCAAATTAAAGTGTATCTCTGGAAGGTGGCCAAAGAGTGAAAAGTAATGTGCAGAGATCAGAGTTTTAGATCTCATTAAGCTCATTAACAGGAGAATGTGTCAAGTCTTAACCTCTCAAAATGATGACCTGTTATTAAAAATAGATTGCCTTGTGGGCGAGTTTTATGATTCAGAGGGTGAAAAGAGAGAACATTCAACAAATGCTTTGTGGATGGAGGGAGGGCAGTTGCTTAGGGCTGATGGTCACAGCAGCATAGCTGACAAATAAGGGCAGCATGACAAATCAATGAATAAGAATAGTATTACAGGGATTTAACCAAATGTCAAGGAAATCAGATTTTTGAATGAAATGTTTCATAGACACCAGTAGCCCATGCAACCTTGGAGGTTCTGTGTGGGTGACTTGCACATGACTCAGATCCCATGATGGAAATTTACTCAGCTTTAGGAAGCTGTTGTAGGCAGACATTTAGCTCATAGCAAATGTAGGTAAGAAAAATGAAACCATGGAGAGATTTCAGAAGACAATTGTTACCCTAGGAAGCATGGCCAGTTTGCTTTTTGCTTTAAAAAAAATTCTACTGGGCGTGGCGGTACACACCTTTAATCCCAGCACTCAGGAGGCAGAGGCAGGCAGATCTCTGTGAGCTCAAGGCCAGTCTGGTCTACATAGTGGGTTCTAGGACAGCTGGGGCTACAGGGACACCCTGTCTCAAAAAGACCAAAAAAAAAAAAAAAAAAAAAAAAAATTACAAGCTATTATCTTTTTATTACATTTTATTTATTTTTTTGTGTGTATGTATATCTGTGTGAGCATGTGTGTGCCATAGCATACACCCATGTGGAGCTAGCTCTGAGGACAACTAGGAGTCAGTTCTCTCCTTCCACCATGTGGGGCCTGAGAATGAAACTCAGGTGGTCAGCCTTGGTAACAAGTACCTTTACCTACTGAGCCACCTTGCTGGTCCCCTATTATCTTTATAAACATAATTACTGAAACTTGAATATGTTGATATTTGATAAGATCATTCAGATTTATGATCTTGGGACAAATTCAGCTCTTCCCTCATCCCAAATTATTGTTGATATATACATCCTTTTTTTTTAGATCCTGAAATTATACACTCTCTCCATATGAATTTTAATGTGAAGTCATTTAAGACTGAAGATTATCATTCTTCTGGTTTTGTTTGTGTTGAAATGCCAGGGGTCAATCCTAGGACCTTACCCACATTAAGAGGTATACCCTGGACCCTCTTTTCACCTGGTCTAATCAAAATTTTTTGTTAGTTTTTGAGACAGCGTCTCCCTCTAGTCCTAGCTGGCCTGGAACTCTATGTAGACCAGACTAGCCTAGATCTCACAGAGATTCACCAGTCTGCCTCTTGAGTCCTAGGATTAAAGGCGTGTACCACCACGATAGGCCCTAATCTTAGACATTTTATTAAAGTTCTTTCTAATGCACTGTGGTTTGAAAATTGATCTATTTGAATGATTCTATGAAAAGCCAATCATACCGTGGCATCTCTTCATCTGTTACTCATGTCTAACATGAAAATAGTTAAATGGAAAATCTAAGAAATAAACAACTCATGTTGTAAATTCTGTGCTGTTCTGAATAGCATGAAGAACTCTCATGTAGTCTCACCCATCAAATCATCCTTCTGTTGTATCCACGTGGTATATGCGACCTACCCGTTAGCCACTTGGTAGCTATCTTGGTTATGATAGCAACTGATGTGCTACTGTTCAAGTAAGCCTTCTTCTACTTCATCCTGCAAAAGTGCTAGAATAGTTAGTGATAGTGGTAATTAGGGTATGCCAGAGAATAGTCAAAAAATTCTTCCTTTAAGTGAAAAGGTGAAATTCTGAATAAGGTTAGAAGAAGAATCATATCCTGAACTTGGTTAAAATTTAAGGTGAGACTAAATCTATCTGTGAAATTGTAAGGAAGGAAAGAGAAGTTCATGCTCATTTTTGCTGTTCAACTTCAAACTGCAAAAGTTATGGCCATGGTGCATGACCAATAGTTAAAATAAAGAATTGTGGTACTAGAGAGATGGCTCAGTGATTAAGAGCACTGGTTGCTCTTGCAGATGACCAGAGGGTTCTGTTCCCAGCACCCACACTATAGCTAACAACTGTGGGTAATTCCTGTTCCAGGGCATCTGATGTCCTCTTCTGGCTTCCATGGGTATTACATGCACATGGAACACATACACGCAGGCAAAACACTCATACACATAAAATGAATAAATAAAAAATTTTTAAAAATAAGATAAAAGGCTATGTTTATGTATCTAAATTTTGAGGAAAATATAATAGGATTTGGTACTGTGGGTGGTTAGGTGTCTTGGAATATATGCATCTTAAGGGGAGACTACTGTACAGACAGTTGTCAATTTATGATGGTGATTTACCATTTTTGACCTGCTGATGATTTGAAAGTAGTCTGTATTCAGTGGAAATCATACTTCCAATTTTGATATTTTCCCAAACTAGAGATATATGCCATCATTCTAGGCAGCCTTGGTGAGCCACAGTTCCCACTCAGTCACAAAATCCTGTACTCTATGGTATATAGTACTGTGTTGATGGTGACTTTGGATACAGATATTTAATAAATTGTATGAGATATTTAAGGCATTATTATAGCATAGGTTTCTGTGCCTGGGCTACAGAGTGAAAGTTCGTCTCAAAAAAATGAAACAAGGAGCTGGGAATATAGCTCAGTTGGCAGAGTACTTACCTAGCATGTGCAAGTCCCTGGTTCGGTTTCCAGACTGTAAACAGACAAAAATCAGAAACTAACAAAAAAGATAAACCAAGTTAAACTGGATAGGTGTATTAAGTGTATTTTGGAATTAGAATATTTTCAACATATGATAGGTTTATCTGTGTGTAAAGCAACAGTATAATGTTTCTTGAACACCTTATATTGCTATTTATCACACTGCATTTATTGAACTCATTCTGTCCATGCTGTCTAATCTTCGCAACCCGAGTGAGCGGGTGCTAGTTCCACTGTGCGCACGGGAAGCAGACTCACTGGAGGTCAACTTGTCTGCGGTTACAGGCTGTGAAGCGCTCATTCACCAGCTGATTGTGCAAGCTCACACTCCCTAAAACACACTCCCTAAAACGACTAGGAATGAAACTTTTTAAAAAGATTATGCTGTGAAGTAAAGATTTGGGAGTTGCTTTGGCAGACGGTTGTGTACAAATTTTGTTTTGAAAATACCTCAATTTATTTCCTGCTGTCTACCAAATTTCCTCCTCCCCTCCCCCCATTTCCTTTTGACCACATCTGCTTCTCCGGGAGACAGGCAGGAGGTTCAGACCCATCCTCCTGGTTTCCTAAGCCTCATGACTACCCAGCGCCTGACACAATCAACTCCATGCCAAGAAAACTGTTCTGCGTCTTCCCCATGTAAGTATCAACACTTACACATCTATTCCAAGCATCTTATTTTTTTTTCTAGGTGTCAGCTCTTTGAGCCTGCAACCTCCAGCTACTAACCCCCTCCTCTCTTCTTAGTAAGTTTTAAACCCAGGGGACTCTAGAGGTATGCACGCGGGGTTAGTTTTGTGAAGGCTCACCTTCCCAGGGCAGGATGAACTGATGCTTGGCTCTTGGCTCTTCGAGGGCAGGTGCTGCGCGCTAGCCAGCCCCGAGTTAATTTCAGCCCACAGAGGGACCTTTGATCAGCGCACTCGCAGCCTTCCCTAGTTGGCTCCGGGGACTTCAAAAGAGCTATAAAGCGGACTCTCATGTGGGCCTTCCTGTGTCTGCGCCCACCCCCTCGTTCTGCACGCCGCAGCCGGTCTTCCCCCTGGACTTCTGTCTTGTCCAGCGCAGCGCAGCGGCGGGCCACCCTGCGTCCGATTGCGGGGACCTAGCCCGCTTTGTGACTCAGATTTCTTCAAGAGGAGGATCCGGGCTCAGCCCGTATAGGTGCGCCTGTAATTTAATGCCTGCTGGCCAGAAGCTGGAAGTGTGAGGAAGGGGCAGTTTACTTTGGAGGAAATGCTTTCGTTTGGAATACAGTTGTGTACGTTGTTATCTTCTTTCACAAAGACTGGCAAGCGATTGGATTTTTGATTCAGAAACTACCCTAAAGCGCCTGGCCAAGACCGTTTGTTTTATTCAACTATTTTTTTTTAATTTATTTTTATTTATTTTGGTGTGTGTACATCTTAAAGGACAAGGTCCGTCTTTACAGCCCTAGCTGGCCTCCAGCCATCTCAGTACTGGGATTACAGGTGTGCCACATCAGGCTGACAATCAAGACATACTTTTAACTTTTTTGCTTGACTTATTTTTGTTTCATATATATGAGTGTTTTGCCTGCATGTATGTAAATGCATCCGTGACATACAATGCTCACTGAGGCCAGAAGAGGGAGTTGGGTCCCTTGGAGTTTCATTTGTTTAGCTACCTTGTGGGTGCTGGGAACCTAACCTGGGTCCTCAGCAAGAGCAACCAATGCTCTTAATTTAGGCTGAACCTTTTATTCAAGGGTGGTAGTTCAAATTGCATCTGGTCTTTCCTGTTTCCTCCTTCCCTCCCTTTTTCCTCCCTCTGCCTCACCTCCTCCATCTCCATTTCCACCTCCAATGGGTCAGTTGGTCTCTCATCCTTTTTACTCTGCTTCCCTTTACTGGCTTGGGGGTGAGTGTCCCTAGCCTAGCTTCTGCCTTTGGGCTCTTGTCTGGCTCTGGCCTTGCCCATTCCCCAGTCTGTTTTTCTCCAGCTTCCTTCCGAAGTTCCTTTCCCCTTTGGCCCTCACACTGTCTGAACGTCAGTCTCTCCTAGGGCATTGGAGAAGGAAGTAACGTGAGGGTTCCGAGCCAGAGAACAGTGATGACTCCTGAGGATGAGGTAAACACCTCCCAAACTAAGGTGTTTTCTTTTGGGTCCCAGAGATCTACCACAGAACCTTTTTCAAGCTAGGCCAGTGCTTTACCACTGAGTTAGTCCCAGTTCAACCCTGAATTACTCAAGGATGGACCACTCCGGGCAGAGCTCTAATTGCTTTTGCCTTCTCCCTCTGGACAACCTAGGTGGAATACTCTGAGGAGATATCAGTTTACCGTTTCTGATTTTGATATATTATAGTTGCATCCCTTGATGTCTATGGAGCATTGATCCCAAGACCTCCTTTGGATACGAGAATCTGAGATGCTCAACTCCCATATATAAATGGTGTGGCCTTTACCCTTAACCTTCACAGGTTCTGCATAATTTAATTCATCTCCAGATGTTTTATCATGCTTAAATAAAATATAACTGTTATGGAAATAGTTATTATATTGCATTGTTTAGAGAATAATGACAAGAAAGAGTCTATACTTTTTTTCATTACATTTATTATTTTCGCTTATGTGGGGAAGGGACATATGTACCACAGCACATGTGTAGATGTCAAAAGACAACTTTTGGGAGTCAGTTCTCTCCTTCCACCATGTGAGTCCCGGGGATGGGACGCAGGTCGTCGGGCTTGGCAGCAAGCCCCTTTGCCAGTTGGGTCATCCTGCCAGCCCTGTATACGGACACAAAGTTTGAATATTTTCTATCTGTGGTTATTTGAAACCTTGGTTGGTTGGCTCTGTGGATGTGGGGCCTCAGAGGTGGAAGGGTGACTTTATCACTGAAGCGGTTACCTGATACCAGAGGAACAGTGCCAAGCTGAGCTTCAGGGACCTCTGTGAAGTGCTGACTGTGTAGCTGACCAAACTCACTTCTCTGAGTTAATTTTCCTACCAGGAAAGCCGAGAGTCATTAGATGGTCTGTTAGCCTTCTGCACGCTGCATCGACTAGAAGGGTAGGCCATTGGAAATCAGCAAAAGTTCCATAAAACACCTACACACTGATGAAAAAGTTGCCAATGGCAACACACAAATTTAAATAGATTCAAGAGAGGTTTGGCAAAGGATGGGTGATGCATGGTTTTGGACAAAACCATCAAAAAAAGAGTACTAAATTTGAGAGCCACATGTTATGTTTCAGTAGAAGTAATGAGCATTGATTAGAAATGAGAATTGGGGTGAGAGGTGGTGTGTCCTGCTAGGGAGAAGACTACAGGGTGGAGGGGCAGGGGAAGTCAGAGTAGGGAAGCAGGAGGCATATGCTGGCTGGTAAGTGCGACAAGGACTGCCAAGCCCAGGGAAGATGTTCTCTGTTGGACACAGAGAGGGGGAAGACCTCAAAAGACTGAAATATTTCTCTTCCCTTCCCTCCACTCCCCTTTACCTCCTCTCTGTTTTTTCTTTCTTAGTGCTTAGGGATCAAACCCAAGGCCTCATACATGCTAAGCATGCAGTCTACCCCTGAGCTACTTTCAACCCTCTGAAGGATCTTTTTTTTTTTGAGGACCAAGAGAACTGCAGAAAACCTGTTGCTGATTATGAAAATGACTTTACTATATCAATGTAAACTCATCAGGAAGTCAAAGGAACATTTGGGAGCTGGAGAGGAAAGAAGTTCATGACTGCAAGGAATAGAATAAAAAGGCCCAGCCCTGAAATTCGGACCAGCACTGGGTATACATCCACAGTAAGGACTTTTGAAGAATAGGGTGTGTCTTACTGGAGAGAGAGCTACAGAGAGGTCAGGCAAATGACTTTGAGTTTAGGATTTCCTTAGGCAAATGTGGGGACCGCAGGGTGTGTGTGTGTGTGTGTGGGGGGCAGATAGGAATCAAATCCCCAGGAACCTTGAAATAGACCTAAGGCCCAAGCTTGCTGTCTGTGTACCCAAAGCTTTCTGGGACAGGTGTCTGTACACAACCTTGCCCCAGCTCTGGAATTTGCAGGTGCCTGTGTAAGATATATACACAGAGCCCATTTCAAAAAAGACCATCAGGGCTGGTGAGATGGCTTATTGGGTTAAGATGCTTGCTGCCGAGCGTCATGCTCCTGAGTTTTGATCCCTGGGACCCACATAGTGGAAGGAGAGAGTCCTACTCCCACAACTTTTTCTCTGACTTCCACATGTGGACTGTGGCACACACCCCCGCCTCAATAACTAAATACACTGTAATTTTTTTAAAAAAGGACCATTGGAGATACTCAAGGGCTGGGTAAGCATCTCACACCTGTAGTTCCAGCTACTTGGAAGGCTGAGGCAAGAGGCTCAACCTGGGAAAATTAGCAAGATGCCTATCTCAAGAAAAACAAAACAAAACATAAAACCCACACAGCAAACAGCACAACAAAATGAGAGAGCAGGCAGACTGGGAATTTGAGGTCATCCTCTGTTATATAGAGTTTTCAAGTTCAGCCTGGGATGCATGAAACCCTGTTTCAAAAACACAAAACTGAACAAGATACTCCATTGCCATGTTCTTCTTCACTCACCTGCGGGGTGCTCTCTCCTTGTCCTGTTATGCTTTCAGTGGCGGAGAGCGACAAATCATTAGCATGAATTTTACCATCCATTTTATCTTGTGCAACATCAGTTTAAAGTGGAATTAGAAGACCATTTCATTTTTTGTGGAATCACCCAGATAATGCAACTTCTGTTTCATCACTGTCTAGGTTTCATGCAGTGTTCTTAGCACAGCTGCGTCCAAGTAGGTTTTTCCCCTCTTCATGTCTTGTAGGCTCGTATCCCACTAAGACACCATGCCTTTGGCTTCCAAGCCAGGAAGGACTGAGAGTCAAAGGCGCTGTGGTGCCTTGTCTTGCCTGTGACATCTAGGTCTTTGTTTTTAGCAGAAGTGTTGGCTAGCTCGCACAGGGAAGAGGAGCAGGAGAGAATGTGCCACAGTTCCTTGTTCATTCATGTTTCTGGAAAGAATGTCATCTTTGTTTCTGGCTTGAATGCAAAGTGTAGCCTCTTGGGGCTATAAGTATCTCTTCCCATTACTCAGGTGTAGATATCACAAGCTTATCTGACACTCACTAGCTTCCAGGCCTGCTGCCCTCCCATGTATCCTGAGTCCCCTGGAAGCATGTGTGAGCCAAGTGCTTTGTGGGGGCGAGATAGCGAGGGAGATAGCAAGTGTGATGGTCAAGGATGGAGAACCCAGCTGGGTGTTCTAGCAACCACATCCAAGGCCTGGAGATTTCAGCACATCTCATCCCAGAACTCCATGGACCAGGCATACAGGAGCAGGCCCACATGAGGAGAGAATTCATGCTTCCTCAGTGTGCTAGATAGCTTTAGTGGTCAACTTGACAAACCTGGGTAAAGGGAACCTCAATTGGGAAATTGCTTCCTTTGGACTAGACTGTGGACATGTCTGTGGGGCATTTTCTTGATTGTTGAGTGATGTGGGAGGGCCCAGCCCACTGTGGGTGGTACCCTGGGCAGTTAATCCTGTGTTGTATAAGAAAGCAGGCTGAGCACTGGCCAGGTGAACAAGCCAGTAAGCAGCACCTCTCCATGGTCTATGCTTCAGTGCCTGCCTCCAGGTTCCTGCCCTTAGTTCCTACCTTGAACTCCTTCAGTGATGAGCTGTGACCTGGAAGATGTAAGCCAAATTAAATCCTATTTTCCCCAGGTTGGTTTTGGTCAGAGTGTTTTATCACAGCAATTGAAAGCAAAATAGAACAGAAATTGGTACCAGGAGTGGGTTATTACTGTGCCAGACCTGACCCAGTGTTTTTGGGAGGATTGTGGAAGTGTTTGGAACTTTGGGCTGAAAAAGCCATTGCATGCTCAGAGTTTATTTCTGTGGAGCTTGGAACAGTGATGCTGAAAGAATTGTAGATGATGGAGGCCTGGCTTGGGAAGCTTCAAAGGGAAGCAGGGACTATCAGGGCTATTCATGTGAGATTTGTGAATTGAGAATCTGTGGGTTCTGGTACTGGTCAGTGGGGGCTGAAGAATCAGCTGTGATTAAGAAGAGACCAGAACCACTGAAGTGAAACCTTTGGTTTACTGGAACAATTGCTGCTGGTTAGCTGGGCCTGAAAAATCAGCTGTGAGTAACAAGAGACCAGATCACTGTGGCAAAATCTTTTGGGAAGTAGTTCCTCAGGGTCAGTGCACAGAAGCTGTGGTGTAGAGGGAGCCTGAGCCTCCATTTCAAGCTGGAAGCAGGACTTGGTAATGTGTAACAGTCTCCTGCATGGTTCTGGTGTTGAAAGCATGAAGGGATCATAGAACAGCTGAGGCCTGAGAGGCCAGGAAAGGCCATTGATGAAAGTGCAGCTCAGTATCAGTGGAGACCCCAGGATTGAAGCGTTCATGGAATCTCAGACATTGCACCCTGAGAGGCCAGAAGAGCCCACTGGTGAAGGTGCAGTCTCAGTTTCAGTGGAGACCCCAGCTTTTTGGAGATAACAGGACAGTGGGAACACTACCAAGGGCACCACCATGTGTGGAATGGACCTTTGAGATGAGCTGAGTGTGCTGTGGACTGAAGAGCCAGAGAAATGGAGCTGCTGAAACCCTTTGGAGCACAGAAGGTGGTGAGTAAATCCCAGAGGTCCAGCCTTGAGCTGCTTTGCTGGACTGAGGTTTTGCTTAGATGTGCCTGATTCTTCCCTTTGAAATAAGACAGTACTTTTTTTGGATCTTACAGGAGCCCACAGTTAAGACTTTGAACTGTTTAGGTGTTTGGATTTTTTTAAGGACTGTGGCACTTTTAAAGTTGTACTGTTTTATGTTGTAATATTAATGAGATCTTGGGGATAAGAAATGGAAGGGTTGTTTAAAGTGATATGTTTGTGTTTCAAGTTGACAAGGGGTCAACTGTACTTGATAGCTTTATTTAACTTGACACACCTGGGTAGAGGGGGCCTCAATTGGGAAATTGCCTCCATTGGACTGGCCTATGACACTGTCTGTGGGGTATTTTCTTGATTGTTGAGTGATGTGGGAGGGCCCAGCCCGTTGTGGGTGGTGCCACCCCTGGACAGGTGGGCCTGTATTGCTTAAGAAAGCAGTTTGAGCACAGGCCAGGGGAGCAAGCCAGTAAGCATCATTCCTCCATGGCCTGTGCTTCGGCTCTTGCCTCCAGGTTCCTGCCCAGAGTTCCTTGGGCTCCCTCAATGACCTGGGAGATGTAAACCAAATAAACCCTTTCCTCCCCAAGTTGGTTTTGGTCAAAGTGTTTCATCATAGCAATTGAAAGCAAACTAGAACACTCAGTAAACATTTCCCTTTCTCCTCCCCAAATCAGGGGTTTTCTATTTGCGGAATTGTATTGCTTAGGCAAAGGTGATGCTATGCCTGGCTCCCAAGGGGGAGCACAGGATCTTGGCTAAGTCAGTTTGTGTGTCCATGGCCCTGGACTTGGGATTGGTACTATACTAGTCCAATAAAAAAAAGGTCTCAACTATGCAAAACCACTATCTCCTCTGAGATGGAGATCAGAAACGTGTTGGTCACCAGGGCAGGAGGTCAAAGAAAAGTTGGTGTTTGGAAGGTCGTAGGGAAAATGAACAGAGCCCAGGGGTCCTGATTCTATCATGAACTTCTGGAAAATTCCAGACCTGAGACTTGTAGTTTATAAGCTTCCTATTTCTATGCACTAGTTGAAGATTATTAAAGCATTAAAATTTACATCATGTTAATTAGTAGAGGTGATAAACATACACAGGCACCAAGGATCGGAGCGCAACCGATTATGACTAGTAATAATCAGATACATACAGGTTAGAGATGCTTGTGCCAACATCTCAGTGTTAGTAGCAAAAACAATGAGTCTTTCTGTAATAAACAGTACATTTTAAAATAAAATGGAGATCTTTTTTAAAAGTTAAAAACTCATCCAATTTTGTCTTACAGGGCTTATACTGAGTTCAATATTGTATAACTGTATTAATTCAACAGCAAACCTAAAAATTTTATAGCCACTTTTGAAAGAGATGTATCTTTGCTCTGGAAATTGTTATTATGTTAAAGCTGTAATGAAATGCTTCTTCTAAAAAAATAAAAATAAATAAAAATAAATTATTTTATTATGGGACTAGAGATATGGCTCAGCAGTTAAGAGCACTGGTTGTTCTTCTAGAGGTCCCAGGTTCAATTCCCAGCACTGATATGGCAGCTAACACCCATCTGTAACGCATTCCAGGGGGTCTGATGGCCCTCTTCTGACCACTTCCGGCATTGCATGATACAGTGCACTTACATGCAGCAGTACTCACACACAAAATAATAAATATTTAAAAAAATTTTTTGAGAAAGATCACATTAACCTAGCTTTTTATTAACCTATACTGTTGTAATTATTCTATTCTATTATTGTGAATTTCTTACTAATTAAATTCTATTATAGGTATGGTATCTATAGAAAAAACTAGTATATATAGGACAAAGTATTATCTGCTGTTTCAGGCATCCACTCAGGATCTTGGAAAATGTCTGTATTTGATACTTTCCTTGTTGCTGTGATAAAATACTTGGAAAAAACTATGTAAGGAAGGAAGTGTTTATCTTGGCTCACAGTTTGGTTGTACGGCCCGTCATAGGGAAGGCAGGGTGGAAGGGGTGTGAGGTCGCATCGTGTCCACAGTAAAGAAACAGAGATGAACGCTCAGCTTACTTTTCCCTCTTTATTCAGTCCAGGACCCTCAGCTCATGGGATGGTGCTGTCCACATTCAGGGTGGGTCTTTCCACCTCAATCAGACCTCTCTGGCAATGCCCTCAGAGACATGCCTGGTGGTCTTCCTCCTATGTGAGTCTAAGTCCTATCAAATTGACAATGTCCCTGGAAGGCCCAGGAGCAGAGGCATCTACAGTAGGTGCTTGCTTGAGTTTGCCAGTTTACCTATATCCAAATGTTTTATCCATATAGAATCATCCTTAAGGGCATCAATTTGAGGGCCTAAGGCTGTAATTCAGTGGTGGAGCATTTGACTTGCATGTGCTAGGCACTGGGTTTG